CCCTGTGCTCACTTTAAATGCTTAGCCTCATATTGTTGGACGCTATTTTTTAATGCTCATCACCGCTTGTAATGTAATCAGTGTTCTTAATTTATTGCGTTTCCCGTATTACTTCGCTAGACGAAACACCTCGACCGTATTTAAGTTGAATTGCAAGCCAGATAAATTCAACCTCAAATCCTACCATTGGTTAATCTTTTTTACTCGCTTTGCTTCCTTATTGTACGCCTCCCACTTGAAGGCGACTTCGCGTTTTAATGTATGAACCAACATTCATCTCAAGGTAAAATGAAGCCATATATAATTTCTCAACTCTTTATACCTTGGTAAATGTTAACATTAGCCGAGTCACGCGCTTCTGTGAAGTCGATTCCCATATTTTTATTATATTTACAACCTAGGTTATTCCACTGGTACGTGACTGTTGACTTTTACTGAACGGTTCAAGTTTACTATTTGTCTCGAACAAACTCTCCTCACACTGAATTTCAATAGCAAAACTTTGGAATGCGAGGCGAGGCACTGTACTGAAATCCCCGCCTTGTGTGATTTGGTGATGCTGCAGTGGTGTTTTAATTGCTACCATGGAAGCTGGTTTACCTCCAGTTGGTGCTGCTGTTATTGTGTGCGGCATATCTTGCCAGAAGGCAAGATAAGACCATTCATTATACCTGGTATCACATCAAGTAGGGTTCATCGGCAACGACATGCCTAGCAGTAACCTTTATACTTGTTGATATGCGAACGTGGATTTTTTTCATTGCATTTATTGCTAAAGAGGAGAGATGTATTTTCTAACTTTTTATTGGCTCCTGAGTTATTAAGCATCATGAGAAAACTTCGAAAAAAATCGTCCACTTTACTTTTCAATAGTGTTAAATCTCAGTTGTTTTAATCAATCAAATTTTAGCGTACTAAATGAAGATGACCTTTCTTTGCTACTATCACGGCGACTTTGTTTCCATGTGGGTATTCTTAAAACAGTGGCTGTCGAATTTTTCAGTTTGGTTCCTAAAATATCGTGCTTCATTAGCATGTGCTACCTTCTTCCTACACGTAATCAGTTTTGTATTAAATTTTCATCCCCCTCGTGCGTCTTGTCGGACTGAGAATTAAACTAGATGTCAGGTCCATCTTGAATAAGGACAAAAAATAATAGTATTGGCCTGAAAATAAATATTTTCTCTTTGCCCGCCCGGCTTCATTCGACTTGCGAAAATATCTGCCCGAGTTTATCTCGGCTTAAATTTCCTAGTTAATCAGCTTGTGTTTTTTCTCGCTAAACCCACGCCCGTACGCGGTTATTTTGTTACTTGTGACGCATATAAATGTTAACATGTGCTGTGTTTTTTTCCTAGAACATATATTTGGCTGAATTTATTGTCCCAAATCAGATGCACTCAAACCCCAACCTTGGATTGCGTGTGGTTAGACCTTCACTTGACCACCAAGGTTTATTTTCTGCATGTATAAATTTATTTTGGTTTGCCCCCTTCGGTTTTTCGAGAACCGGTCTTTTGATGACTGATGAACACAAACTGAGTTTCGAGGACATAGACTAACGAAACCAACTTATCTGTCGACAAATGTAAATAATGAAATGCATTCATTCAGCGAAAAGATAAAACCTATCATTTGCACAAAAAAAGTGAAGTCAAGGAAACGAGGCTGGGAAATGTGAAGTCTAGAGGTCGAAAATTAATAACGAAAATTAACATCCATTTCGCACGCCAAGTGCGGAATGGAAAATGGCATCAGCTGCGGAGTATTCTGCGCGATGATCCCCGGATGTCCGGAATACGTGAAGCGCGAACCTGGGGAAAAAGCTTTTCCGATGCGCTCCACAGAAGGTATGAGGTTATATCGTACTGTTACGTAACTCTTGCGTCTCGACATAGCGAAAATTACGAATAAGTTGATCATTGTTTGATTTACACCGGCGAATTCTCGAAATTATCTGCAAGAATAAATTGGAAATGTATATTGCATGGTACGCATTAGTAGTATAGCTTGGAAACGCGCCTTGTAATCTTGAACTTGAGCGAAAACTCGTAATATTCACGAAAGTCACGCCGTTCTTAAACTATGCGGACCTCAGAACGTATGGAAATAAATGTCCTCCATACTTGTGTTCAAACTCTTAAAAAAGCCATTAAGTTGCTCTTGTATTATATTTGCATGCATTCGTACGGTTACGTAAGATAAAGCTATTCTTATACCTAATTTTTGAAGACTTGAAATAAGTTAACTGGCGATGCAGCTTCCCAATATATGCCTTCGTATAAATGATTAGTGATTTTTGTTTAAAAAAATGCGCAAATATTGATCTATAGGAGTTCAATTTTTTTCAACATTCTCAACCAAAGGTTGTGCATGCTTGTAGTCACGTAAACCTCTAGCCAAGGTTATTACTGCAGCTGAACTGGTCTAATTTTTTTCCGGCATGGCCAGATAACCACACCTGAAAATTGCTAGTAGTTGAACGTTGAATTGGGAACTGAGTTATCATCCAGTGTGGATTACTGAGAAGTTAGATTTATTTAATTTAACTTTATGCAAACCATACACTAGTGCTTTCAGAGTTATATCTGTTTGTAGATTTTGGTTTTTGTCGACTGGTACATTATTTTCCCTTGATCGAATATCGTCGGCATTCAATGAAGACTCCCCGTAATTGCTGAGTTCGAACCCAAAATATTCTACCCACGTCTTTCAACTGAAATTGAAAATTTGACCTCTCGTTTGATGAAGAAATTCTTTCTAACTTCCTCTTTTCAAATATAATACGAATGAAAATGGTTTATTCGTATTGTTATTTGTTTTATTCATTCTTCTCGATAGAGCACATATACTGTGACACATTCAAAATGGTTATTTTAACCAATGAACTCGTGAACTGATACAAAAAAGTGAAAAAGTTTGGAAACCTTGTCGTTAGGAGATTTTATTGCCAATTTACTTCTCCGTTGAACCAGATGACTTTTTTGTCGACCTTACATATGTGAAAAGTTTTATTTGCGTTGATATTTGAAGTCGGCCGTTGTAAGGAAATTGTATTTTTATCTATGGAATCTTGAAGCGTTACCAAACAGGATAAAATAATATTTTTAAGATGGAAACTTGTAAATTTTATCATAGAATGAGGGAAGACTTTTCTTCCAAGTTATAACTCTGATTTGAATAGGACTAACTGAATGTGGGCCGGAACGTATTTTGACACTGATGTAATTTAGCTTGAAAAATTATTTATTGAATTAAAATTGCGGCTCCTCAATTTTGAAAACGTCGGGCTAGCCACCTAGTGATTTAACTCGGAATACCTTAAGATGCCACATTATATTCCAGATTTATTTAATTTCGTTCACTAATGAATGGATTGATCTTTATTAATCTTCATTTGTGACATCGACGTCTCCGTTATAGTACACACACCGGACCTGTTGCGCAACAACTTTAGGTTGTACATGTGTTCCACTTACTCAATGGAACTTTCTCTAATTGCCTTACAAAGCATGTACTTGGAGAGAGTACTTCCAATTTTCTGTACAACTTCATTGTATTCTAAATCCGATTGAGAAACTTGATTCTTCATCAAAGTATTATTCTTGAAAATTTTTTCGTGAAAAGTACATTTTGGTACTTAACTGCACATAACTTCGAAATAAGTAAGAATGGGTTGTACAGACAATGGTGCGTTTCATTTGAACGTCCCTCTTTTTCAGTTAGATCCTTCGTTGTTACCAACCGCGATCTCAACTCTACAGAAAGTAGATTCTAATTGACCTTCCATGCAGTCATTTGTCTCGTGTCGATTACACAGATAAGAAGCTTGCTTCGACTGACCTAGGCAATAGGGTAACATCGTCATTCCTCTAAGTGGACGCTGAATCTGAGGGAAATTCGAAATATTTAGATAGAATATCATACGCTTGATAACCAATATTGAATATTCTCAGTTCGGTATATATCTCATATTTTTTTGACGTCAATCTTTAACTCTATCATTTCCAACTGACAAGGAAGTTAGAAGCATACTCTGCTAATAATGAAGAACGTTAAATTCCAGCTCTATGGTCATTTCCGAACACCGTAAATGACTGGAAGGAAAGTTTCACTCGCACTTTCCCCTTCGTTGCCATTACGTTGCCACCATGCGTTGCCACTGTGTAATCACCGTACATCATTACGTCACTACTGTTCGCGTGGATTACCTTCTGGTAGATGTACTGCCGTCCCATTGCGGAACTTGTAACTGGAGTATAAAATTTCTTTCTAAGCATTTGGAGAATAGAATTGCACTTGCAAAGATATTTTTTAGTGAAGTATTGGCTCTGAACGTAATCAGAAGAATAGTATTGACATCAGCTCGCCTTTGATCACAACACAAGCCACCGGTTGATATTATTTCAAATACAATAAGTATTTCTACTCTTCTAACAAACATTCAAGTTCGAACATAATGGCATTCCTATTTACTGTGTATGAAGAAAGATTATCGGTAAATATATTTTTCTAGTACATGGAAAATTGTGTTGGAAAGTATAGTTTCATAGTATGTATTACCGTTTGTTCAGTAGATACTTTTATCCATAGTTTGGCGCCGTGTTTTCTGATTAGATAGATATTCATCGTTTGTATCACCGTTACGCAATGAAAATTGTTCATATTTGAGTTTTTTTTTCTTGATATTTGAGAGCAATAGCAGACTCCATTGTTTCTGATATAGCTGGTTTGCAGTTTCTGTTTTCATGTGAGAATTATCATGACTACGTAATACGTGTTTGCAAAAGTCCCAGGATTACTTGCCACTGTACTAAGATCTTTGGTGCTTTGAATCTAGTGTTGTCATTTTATCCGTTCCCATCCTTTCTTATGTCTATTTATTTTTCGCTTGATATTAATCTTATTGCGTGACCTGCCCTCGAAATTCGTTTGAACCAGACGCCACGATAAGTGCCTGGTAGAATAATAATAATAATAACAATAATAATAATACGCAGGTATCGGCATTGACGACACGTTCGTGATGCTCGCTTCTTGGAGACGCTCCCGCATCCAGGACCCGGTTCCTGAACGCCTGGCCCACACCTTCGCCGACGCCGCGGTGTCCATCACCATTACCTCCATCACAGACATGATCTCCTTCTTCATCGGCGCCATCACACCTTTCCCCTCCGTTCAAATTTTCTGCATTTATACCGGTGAGAATTGGCTTTTATTTGTAGTGAATACATGCTAGTAAAGTTGCCAGGTTGAAGTTGCCGCCATCACAGTCATGATCTTCTTCATTATCGGCGCCATTACACCGTTCCCCTCCGTTCAAATTTTCTGCATTTATACCGGTGAGAAATGGCTCTTGTTTGTAGGATAAATACTAGAAAAGTTGCCATGTTGAAGTGTTTTTATATAAACTGTGAATGTACAATGCAAAAATATTCTAAACCGTGACTCTCCTCGAACACTTTGTACCATTATTACGTCCAGTGAATCCTTGGTTAGTAATTAGGGCCCAGTTCAACCGAAACTCTGATCCAATAAACCTGTTTTGAACACGCGGGGATTGTTCAGTGCGTCATTTTCTATTCCAATATTCTCCTGAAAATTCGTAATAATATATTGGATAATGATAATCGGTAATCGTCAATTTGTGTACTAACAATGATTTTCGGTATAAGAAATCCCAGAAAAGGAAACTATCTCGAAATGCCATCTCAGTCGAAATTCCGCAATATGATTACCATTGAAAAGGCTCAGGGTCAACTTAAAAATGTTAAGCTTTCAGATGGAAGTTGCAGTGAAACCCGTCATAGATTTTGTCGACACTTTTTCACTAGTTACCGATATCGTTCTGGGCTTGGTTCGTTAGATAGATGCGGATCGCCTTACATTATCCAATAGGAGATGAACTCAAGAATGCGTCAGTTCGTTTGACTAGCATGGATGATCAGACTAGTTCCCAGTGACCTCCATCGTTAGCAGCGTTACGGTCATCAAGTCTCTATGTCAGGCTTTGTATTTTCAAGCATTAACAGCCTTATTTCCATATTTTAGATAGGTTCTAATTCCACCGTTCTATAGCGTGTAGGAAAACCGAAGGAATTGTTATCAGATTTCTGTTGCTGCTGCAGCAGTAGCAGCACGTGCGGTTTAAATAGCAAGAGATATGCTCTCAGGTGATTTAGTATTTCAATTTTTACGACAAATAATTTCAAGCAACAATAAACTGCTGTAGTGGAGGAAATAGTGAGCCAATTTAAACAAATGAAATGAGCTGTGTATTTGAATTAACCGGTAAGATTAAATATTTGCCACTCAGTGATGCCTGTGAGTTATGGAAAGATCGGGTTCCAAAGGCCGTATCCCTTGTGAATCTAGTCACGAAAAGTCCAAGAATCGGCAACAGGCCATGGGTCTATTTCTTCAACGCCGACACTTCTATTATATTCTTTACTGCAGGCACCGCTGTGCTGATGACCTACCTGTGGCACATCACCCTCTTCGGGGCGCTGTTGGCTTTATCGGGTTACGCTGAGCAGAAGCAACTACACAACCTCGCCTGCATTCCCGTCAAGCCCGTGTCAGAGTCAAGTAAGTCAACATGAAGTCGACCGCTCATGAGTAACTAAAAATATTCAGAATTTTTAGAATGATCTTCACCCTTTAAAGGAATCTCAAGCGTCCGCAAGGCTCCTTTACATTGCTTCTAACTCTGAGGTTTTTGTCATAAGAGGGCTAAAATATCGTTCTCATGAAATTATTGGAGCTTAACCCTATACCGCCTGACATGAGTAACCGGAGCAATATTGTCACAATCCTACTTCCAAAAAATGATACGTTCTAGTGAGCGCAAAATGACTTGCACTGATGGTTGCCGCCACGTACGACAACTTAAAAATGTTCTCTGTTGCGTTCAAACGTCTTGGTTGCTACACTCGATAGTTTAGGTACAATTCAAGTTGAAACATGTGTACATGGAGATTGACATACGGCGGTAGAGGGCTTAATGACAGAACTTCTGGAAAGAAGCTCATGAAGGGAGTTAAACTGAACGACAGTTGCTTGTTCCACTAAATTTTGTTCAGCCCTGAATGGTCCAATCATTAACACTTTATCTTGGATAGAAAGCCCGGCAAATTATTTATTAGGTTCCAATTTTTGGTATCAGGGTTACCATGAACCTTGCTTTGTGCATTGGAACCAATTATTTAAAAAAACCTGTGCGTTTGAACTAAAGTTTTGTACAATCGCTGAATGAGCTTGGAAAGCATCGTTCGATACCTATGGCGGTGCTAATCACAATTATCTCGAATCAAAACTACATTTTAAACGTACTAAGCTGATGTACATGCAACCTTTTTTGCAGAGGATGAAGACTGCTGCTACCGCGCGTGCTGCTCTGGTGGAATCAGCAAAACGGACCCTTACAATCCTGAGGACAACAAGCGACACGCCATCATGGTGCTCTTCAGGGACTACGTGGCAGTCTTTCTCAACATCCCTGCCGTTAAAGGTACCTACAAATCAAACGCGTTACGTTGTATATTGGTAACCACCATGATGGTAATTAGCTGTTGCTGATGTCTCCTCTTCTTTGTACCATAACCATAGAATACAGCTATTCTATGGTTATACATATGGTATAACAATAGAATACAGTAGCCTTTTTCATGGTTTTAACTGCTATAGTGAGAAAAAAAAAAGGATTCTCGTGTATTCTTTTTACTCCCCTCGAGCCGTTTAGACAAATCACGTGCCCTGTTTTTGTAAGGTGATATTCTCCAGTTAATTATGTTAACTGATACAAATAAAAATTAACACTACAAAATTGATTCCATAATTTTAGAAGAGGCCGCTACTTTCTGGCACGTGAAGAATAGGTATATAGTAGACTTGTAGTTTTTTCGGATTGAAAAAAATGAGCACCAGTTAGCCCTGTTCCACATTGTATTTCTCCGGAATATCTCGTAATGCCTGAGCCTTTTATTGTAATGTTTCGTTTGTCTTGGTCATTTTTCTTCAATTAAAGTTCTTTTACTACAGCCCTTGTCGTGTTGATCTTCTTGGGCTACTTATCCGTGGCCATCTGGGGTTGCACGATGGTCACCGAGGGACTGGAGAGAAGAAAGCTGTCACGTTACGACTCCTACTCCGTCCAGTACTATGACCTCGAAGATACTTACTTCAGGGCATTTCCTTACAGGATTCAGGTCTGTTTTTAATGCCAATTCTATGAGAATGCCTTTATTTTACTGCTCACCTCCTTCTAGACTAAAAACCGAACTTTAATATTGAAGTGTCTTGCTCTATAATGTAGTAGTTGGATAATTACTTGCCTTGTTATGTGTAAAAAGTTGTTCAAATTTATGAAAATATGGATAATGGAAATGAATTTTACTCTCCGTACTTGGAGTTGATTTGAATTTAGTTCCACCGCGTGATGTGTTCTATCTTTTTTTCCAGTATGTTTCGTACATGATAATTTGTTGTATATTTAACAGATTATTTTCGCTGGCGACTACGAATACCACGACAACGCTACGGCCGACGCCATATTGGGGTTCTTGGAAAAAGTAGAGGCGCTACCCAATATTGGTGACCCTTTGTACACCGTATCCTGGCTACGGTCGTGGAGATCCTTCATGGAGAGGAACGGCGAGTACCTCGGCATCAACAACACAGACGAAGTTTCCTTGATACAGAACCTCAAAGAAGTGAGACCGCAATGACACAAAGTTTAATCGCTGCTTGACATGCGACTAACCTTCTTTAATTGCCAACATTCATTTTCGATTCACTTTTTATTATCACACTTCTATTTAACTTCAATTCTTGCTGTTTGTCTATCTGTTTCAAATCTTATAATCGACATTTAACACTCTTCTACCTGTACGATCGATCTGAAATTTTGCACGCTTACGTATAGTGGGAGACAACGCGTGAATCAATTGGCTGAAAAAATATTAAAAATGATTTTTTAATATTTAAAAAGAAAATAGGAAATTCATTGTACATGTGTTACATCAGAGACACCAGCCTCTGTAGAAGTGTGGTCTTTGTAAGGTTCTTTTTAAACGTATGTTATTATTGTTACATTGATGGCTAGAACATAGCGTGGGATATGATCACTTTTTTAATTCCGACAGCTTGAACATTGCACGCGTTTGAAATTATTATTTGATACTGCACATGCACTGTCGAAAATCTCATTAACTTGTGTACCGGCAGTACTATTTGTCTGGATCGGCGAACATGTACGCACTTGACGTGGCTTTGAACGAGGACGAAACTCGCATCATTGCTTCAAGATTCGTCGTACAGGCCTTCGAAGTCACGGACGCACTTAAAGATCGTCAGCTTATGGAAGATCTTCGTAAGCTAGCCGATGAGTCTAGTCTGAACGTCACGGTCTTCCATCCCTTCTTCATCTTCTTCGATCAGGTAAGATTATCCGTAAATTTTTGGTCTCGATTTTCTTTGCTTTTTGCGAGTTCATTCATGTGCGTTCAGCATTTCTTATGATACAATTCTCATAAATAGTCGATACGGGGCAAGTCTAGTTTTGGGTTTTCTTTATGCATTCCCGGAGCTGAATTTATTGTACATATCTGCAGTCGTGTAAATGTTGACTCCTGGATGTCAACGACTGAGGGTTCTGTTGCCAATATTCAATTCATCTGCTTGGACCAGGCTGGTTTTGTTTTTAGGTTTCCTCATAATGCAGTACATCATCTTCTTTAATATGTCATCTTACTTTTGTACATTTCTACAATTTTCCTGACTGTTTTGTCACACCATTAACGGATTTTTTCATCTTTTTTTTTTACAGTTCACGCTGGTGCGCAGTACCAGCATACAAACCATATCTCTGGCAGCAGCTATAATGATGGTAGTTTCACTCATATTCATTCCGAATCCCCTCTGCTCGCTGTGGGTTGCCTTCTCCATCATATCCATTGAAATAGGCGTCGTAGGATATATGACCCTGTGGGGCGTCAACCTTGACTCCATATCTATGATACAACTGATTATGTGCATCGGCTTCAGCGTGGACTTCTCTGCTCACATTTCTTACGCGTATCTGGCTGCTAAAGTGGATACGCCTGATGAGAGAGTGAAGGAATGTCTATATTCATTAGGACTGCCCATCGTACAAGGCGGATTGTCGACAATCCTCGGAATCATGGCTTTGGTATTGGCGCCGTCTTACATCTTCATCACCTTCTTCAAGACCGTTTTTCTAGTTATTTTCTTCGGAGCCATTCACGGTCTTTTTCTTCTCCCAGTTCTGCTGTCGCTTTTAGGACCCGGCTCCTTTTCAAAGAATAAAAAGAAAGATGCTGTCGTTTCTCATCCCATGTATTACGAAAACGGAGGTTTCATTATGCACAATGGCATTGGATCGATGCCAGTGCACCCAGCCTTGCCTATTAGCCCCAACCACTTGCCACCACACCTGCAATTGTCCACAGACAAACAGCTCCAGATCCCAAGGCCTAAAAGTTTCGGAAATCATCCTAGCCAAAAAATCGTCACATCCCCGCCTGTTAGCTGCTACAAGAACAACGCATATCTTGGACCTGCTGCTAGCGGTGGCTTGGTTAAGGAAGAGAGTGGAAGTCTTGAGAGGGACTTGGGTCTTGGCACTTCAGGCGAAGAGAGCAGTGAAAGCAGCCTGCGTCAGGGAGTTGGTCGTAAAACAAGTGCCCTCCCGACCATTGCTGACAGCAGGAAAATAAGGGACCCGGGTCACGAAGCTTACCAAAACAATGGCTATATTAGCGACAGTTTTGAAGCAGAGAGAAGGAGGGCATTTGAACGTCGTGGAGACTACTTTGATGAATGGGACAATCATCAACCAGAACGGAATCCTAGATGGCAGAGCGCTCGATACAACCCATCTGAAGCGCGTGGATACAGACTAAATCGCAACGAACAATATCGCGGTGAGCCCTACCGCCCACACAGACACAGTGCCGACAACCCCCGGAAAAGTGCGATTGAACGTCACCGTAGCAGTGCCGACAACTATCGTAGTAGCAACACTGCCGCCACTTCAGACCTGCGCAACAGCTCAGAATATAAACGAACCAACTCTGATAACTACCGTAGCAGTGTTGAAGTCCCTAGAAATAGCAAAAGTCGTTCACGTGAGCGCCACTGATGAGTGCCAAAAACTTGAGAAATTTCAAGACGCCTCTTCGTGTGTTATATTGTAAATAATTAGCTGCCAGACGTGCCCTTGTGTGCCATTCCATTCATTTAGGCTTTTAGACAAGTGGAAAGATTATCTGTTGGAGGGTACCAGTGTGATGCGAATGACCTCACAAGTTTCTGCGAAGTTCAGTTACCACTTTTATTATACCAGTGGCAGTTTCTCCTTTTTTTGCAAATGACCATGCGCAAGTGACATTTTATCATTTATGGTAGTTGTTTCATTCTCAGAGGGGTATAGCGACGCTCTCTGGCACTGACGCTCAAGACGGCCCTGTAGGAACCGCTAGAGTTGCTATAAATGTCGACATGTTCCTGTGATAACTACCGTCCTTATTAATAAACTTAAGCAATGTATTTATACCTGTGTTTGCAGACTATTTTGGTAAATGTGAGAACTGACTTCGAAAATCAATTTTGGCATGTAAACTGTCGATTGAAGAGTAACTCGTGATGTGACCCGAAGCTCTTGGAGAGATCCAAGTCAAGCTGAGTATCTGTTGGTTGGAATTACAATGTACGTATAGAATCTCAGTTATCCGACACCAAATAAGTTATAATGTAAGGAGATGACTCGGATGTAGGTTATTTGACTTGGTGGTCACGAGAATTGGCCATTTGAACTCGATGGTTCGCTTTGATCGAAGCTCGACGAAGTTGAACACCCTGAGAATGTATTTTTCCTGCTATCAGACAAAGTGCGCACGGCTTCGCGATTCTTTTCATATCGTTGTGCATTGAATGTGGAGTGAGCTTATACCCTTGAATTAGCAATACTTATAGTTCAGCTTTCGTCCCATATATGAAGAGAGCTAAGATTTTCTTTTTTTTGCCCACCACTTTTACCACGTGTAAAGTCGTGCTTCCCTTTTCCTCGTACTTCCTGAACGTTAACAATTTTTTCCATTCCTTCCTGGCTTTCTCTTAAATTATTTAGAACACGATACTATGCCTTGTAAACTTTCACTTTAAGGATTACTTTTTTTGCTCAACTACGTGAAGAAGCGAACTAAAGACACGCGTGTACCTACATGTCGAATATCTCATGCAGCTTTGCCCATGTTTTGTTGCGTATCATAGCATATATAGGTTGCATGTCTATCATGGGCTCCTTGAAGTGATTGGGTGGAATCGAAGTAAAAATACTGCCGTGCGACCTTCAATGGGAGCTTTTCACTTGTACCTCAGTGATGTATAACCTTAAAATCGAGATACTAGAATACTGGAATTTTAATAAGAGTTAAGTTCCAGATTGTGACATTGTGTGACGATGCATTGGACTTCGATGAGCGATCGCTGGACTAGATTGTGGTTTTGTCAAGGGTAGTAGTGTTTTAAGTGCCGCGATTTTTAGTTCCTGCTGACTTTAACGAAGATTTTAGTGACGCCCCTCGTTGGAATTAAAGTAATAATTAAATCGGGAAATATCGTAAATGGATAAATTTAACTAACTTGTAAGGTCACTTATTAGATATTTTTAGACAGGACATGACTGGCATTTAAATTCTGTGAATACCGGGTAAATTTTAGTCGTCGTTTGTAGACCGAAATCACCCAGAAGAAGGAATCCAGCTTTGAAAATTATACTTTTGAAGTTTCTCTAGGATTCGGTGGCCTATGTATTAATTCTGAATTTGCCACCAGACTGAAATATTTTGCCATTGTAAAACAACTTTCCGTATTTCACATTAAATTCCCTTGTAAATAATGTCCTAAGTTGTTATCCATGAAAGTTTTTTGAAGTAACGTAGCAACTTGAACGCATTTGATTTTTCTTAGTAGCCAAATTGATGGCGCTCACGTCTCACGATGTTCTTGAACTCTTAGTTTTTTATCGTTTAATGCATGGAGAGTGATTGAATTGAAATTTAATTTGAACTAATTCTACCGACGGTGGTTGCGGCTGTCCAGCTCCTATTACATTTTGGTATATAAAAAGAAGCCAATTGAACAAATTGCCACATAGTTGTCACAGCTTATTTGTGTTATGTAGCAATTGTAATCTATGGATATCATCTCCTTAGCATGCAGATTCATGTACATAAACTCGTGAATAATGGAGTGCTCTTAGCCGTTTTGGACTTTTCATATTTGCCTGTCTATTGTGCTTTTAATAAGAGGTTCCGAATATGGCTTGGGCGTAATTTTTCCGCGACCATAAATGTAACTGCAGCTCTTTTTCATGTAGTCTGGATGAGCTGAAACTTGTACAGAGAATGCGACGTGGATAAAGATTATATTCAGGATTTAATGTCTTACTGAATCTCCTTATCCATCGCAGCTTCGTCTGCCCATTCCTTGGTCTGCCCGCGCCTTGTGTGCAGCTCCATGAATAAGCAATGGTCACGTTCGCGCCATGTCTTACGACGTCTCTCATCGGCACAGTGTTTTACCTGTTTTTACCATCTTGGCAATATCATTAAAAATCTTTAATTAAAACTAATTGTTGATGGGTTGCAAATCGTTGCAAATTCGTGCTGCAGGTAATCCTAGCTCACATGGAGCTCCATTCGAGCGCGGTAGCATAGCTCACGTGTAGAGTTGCACGAAATCTGCCTCTTCACGAATTGGCTAGGCGATTAGACTTGGTACGATGGGATGTGTCAGTGTACTCGTCGTTTAGTTATTGCCCCTATGACTAACTTTTCGAGGATTTTGTAGGGGAAACCTCGGGTTCATATTTGGTTTGAAGAGTCTTCGTCGTTCTCGCCGGGCATAGATGCTATCGGTTAGGTTGTGTGGACAGTGGAGAATAAACGTTGAAGCTCGAAACCAAGTGCCCTTAATTTTATGACCATAGGATATTTTCATGGGTTTGTTGGGCAATGTTACATTCGATACTCATGTTGGTTGGTCTAATTCAATGTTTTGTCATCGGAGGTTAGTGCCCGATTAAGTGATTGACAGAAAAATTTTAAAGGTGCGTGTATGCGGGGCAAGTTGTTGCAGTTATTGCATAGTGACGGCTACAAGTCGCCGCCTTTAGTTTTAACGGCGAGTAGGTTTATGCACGGACAAGTAAAAGCTGCAGTATTTTCCCATTAATGGCAAAAAGTGCGTTTTTATAGGCCAGAAAAAAAGACAAGTTAGTGGACAATTTCAATTTTGCATACCTATCCACACTAATTTCACAAATCATTCATGAAGTCTTGATACGAATGTAATGTAAATTGATAGAAGTAGAAGTAAGAAACTGGTTGCTATGACTATGTTGAATGTTAACCTTAATTATTATTAGAATTGTGACAGACAAATAAAGGCTTTTAAAAACTTGAGTTTTTAACCCATAATATAGATTTATAATTTTGGAAACAAATATTACTGTTCAACTTTCTGGGATGAATATTCTATCACTGAACGACGAAGCGAAAAAGATTCACAATTTTTTTTAATTCAATAAATTACACTATGTTGGGTTCAGGCTAGCCGCTACTCTGTAATAAGAACCCGAAAATTTTCATGATCAGCCAATAAGGTGGCTGTTGGTTGCTCACTCGTGCACGAAAACTACGTAGCTAGTCGGTTTTTATTCCTCCCTACTTGCCCCTGAAGCAGACGGTAGTCACAGTACCGCTCTAAACGTGGCAAGTAGTCCAAAAATTATCGCGGTTAATACAATACACATCTATTATTAACTAAAACTTGCCCAGTGCACGGCAAGTAACTTTGGAAGACCTCATAATTTATAAATTTGACCACGAAGGTCGCAGAATGTGATACAAGCAAGCACGCCTGTCCCAAACTCAAGCCCCATCGACACGTTCTAACTTATCGTCAGTCTTGTATAGAATAGAAGTGTCGGCGCTGAAGAAATAGGCCCTGGCCCATGGCCTGTTGCCGATTCTTGAACTTTTCGTGACTTGATTCACAAGGGATCCGGCCTTTGGAACCCGATCTTTCCATAGCTGACGATTGATTGAGATAGCTGCTGGACTTATTGCCTGGTCCGTAATTTGGCATTTTTAGACTGAACATATGCTCCTGCATAGCTTCGTCTAGTCTGTTTTTGAAGATGTTCATACTCGGAGCGTCAACGATGCTATCAGGTAGGCTGTTCCACATGTCGGTGACTCGAAGCGAGAAGAAATGTTGTCGCATGGATGTGTTCAAACGCTGTTTTTTTTTTAGTTTGTCATTGTCATGTCATGTCATGACAAGTTTGATATTGAAGACAGAGCGTGTAGCAACTAAGCTGGACGTCCTGCATGACAGTTTTAAGGTTTGAAAAATATGGAAAAGACTGATGCGAGATTTTTGGGTACAAGAGCGGTGCACTGCCTGCCATCTCCCTTTCTTTTCAAAGTTTAATCCATGGTGGGCTGGGCACTGACAGTCGGTTTTCGGCAGATCTCTTAGCTTGAGGATGACGGCTACTATCCTTGCGCAACACTTGTGCGCATAGCACGACACGTAACGCATTGCGATTTCATTAAAGCTGTGGTTCTCCAACTTGTATGGTAATGATCATATTTGAACAAGGCAAAGGCCTCCACCTGTTAACGTTAACAAAACTTTTAACAATACTGAGTTCCTGCCTCGTAATACTTAATTGCCTCGTATTTTAAGAAATGCTAAAATGTCGAGCGAAAGATGACGTGTGGGATGGCAGGAAGTTAAACCAACCAGCTGAAAATCGAAATAATTCGCTCCTACGTAATGAATACTGATAATAACCGGAGACTAAAAAGAGATTTAAGTTTGAAATTGTTTGTCCCAAAAATGCTTATGCTCAGGGGGCGCCTAGTGTGTATTTCAGAGATGCAGCTGCTGACAATGCTGTGTTGCAGAAAAACAATGGGACCTATAGAAGATTAAAGCTTGAAAAAAAACGATGGGACGTATAGAAAAATAAAAACTTTGAAACACGATGGGACGTATAGAAGAATAAAAAGATGAAAAAACGATCGGACGTTTAGAAGAATGAAAGGTTGAGCTACAAACCACCGCCTTAAAGAGGGCAACTAATTAATTATCTCTTAATTATATCTTCAGCACGTTCTACGAACGCGTGCCTCCCGATTTGACGTTAACTGGAAATAATCGACTTTATTATTGGCATCAGAAACCGAAGAGATAATGTCATAAACATCAGCTGGCTCCCTCATTTGATAAGCTGCATCTAACCTAACTTCATCTCATGCAGGATGCAGATGCATCGCGGCTACGAACATAAGCGACTTCCTATTAACTCCGAAAATATCGGAGGCTCCTTAATTGGCCCCGTACTGCGGTGGCTGTTAATGTGCAATGCAATGCAATGTGCACTGTACAGCGGTGCGCCTGAAGGCTCATTGTTATTGAGATGGTTGCAGCAATTTAGAATATTTTCAATGCGCATAATTAATGATAAGCATAAACTGTGAAATCTCGCATTGGGGTCCATGATGATCCATCTGCCGTTTCTCCGCTTCAAACTAATGAGACACGCTCTCCGCTTTTTTTAATAAGGAGATTCAAGAGAGCACTATAAGCTCTATTACTTATTTCATTTAAGTATCAATATTTCAGTAATTCGCGATACAGGGAGGTGACATTCATGTCGCAAAACGCATTTGATTTGGGATTCAGTCGAAATTCAATAAGTATCGTAACTAACGAACTACTCGGCAAGCCGCTAACATCATAAAATAGAAACACGAGTCAATTCACACCAGCGAGCGCAGAAAATGTTGTTACTGCGAAAGAATTTAAAGATCAAATGGAATTTTGTTATCAGAGATTGGTACAGTTGTTTGAATGAAGAAGGCTCCCGCTTTTAGTGGCAGCTGCTCCCAAAGCCATCAGTGGTATTTTAATTTCAAAGTAAGCGCAATTCTTTAGGAAAAATCGCAAACGACTGTATGGGTACACTGCGAGGCCATACTCATTAACAGTGAGTAATAGAAAATGAGTTAAACTAGACGTGTTCGGTTTCACGAATACATTTGAAATTTATATTCATTACGTTACTAGAATTTTTGTAATTTAATCAAGAAAATCCGAGGTTACGGTAAAAGAAGCATCACTTTTACAGTGAATTTAACTCGAAGATGTATGACACTGTGCATTAATAAGAGAAAATGCAATTGGGTTCCTGCATACCAACCAATATATTATAAACAATAATTTCACATTCACACACATTTCAATGACCTGCCAGGTTAGAGACTTTGCTCAGGCACTCATGAATACAAATACAGTTGGCAGCTGACTCCCGTAAGTGTAAAAATTTTTAATGATATTTTCATCATGCCAACAGAAAATGAAATTCGACTTAGAGGAAAAATAAATTAGAAGTGTATCAGGAGGAAACTGCATGCGCATGAAAATGTGAATAACCCAAATTTTGCTTGGGGCTATGGTTTTCCCCTCACTCACTGCATGGACTGGATGGAGCGGCGAGGTTAGTTTTTGCTGCAAGTTTCGCGGCTGGGCATCCCGTTCCCGTAGTCCCGTGCCCGATGTTGGTTAGAGCTGCGCGCGCAGTGGTGGAGAGTGGTCGTGTGTTATCACTACTAATACTAAGTGCCCTCCAAATCTTGTTGATTATTGAACTGATTGTACAGAAGATTGTGTGTGCTAGTTAATTAAAATAAATACGTGTATTTATTTTTACGTGTACACTCTGGTGAACGTGATTATGTTACGCACATATTCATCATGCTGCATGCAATCATAGGTATATAATTTGAAAAAAAAACGAAGGTTACGGTTACAGAGTTTTTTTCCTTTTCTGAGCATAGTGCGCTGTAATATTGTGCTTTGATGCGTCTGACAAGGAGATTTTACCTGCAACAGTATTTAAATTTACTGCTATGTTTCGCTAAAAAATTATCCATTTAAAAATATAAAGTTAAACTGGGCGCACGTCGCACGTGACTCGTTGCTTCGTTCGTCAAGAATTCGTAGGTCTCCTTCACGCTCTGACTACCGCAGAGATTATCAAGCCGTACAGCGAAGGTTACTTTCAGGTGACACAGCAACACTTCCCATTCCATGAAATAACTTTAAGTGATTATATTTCCATCTCCGGAATATGTAGTGCCAAACACATGGTTATATGGAAACAAATTGCAAGTTAACGCAGATTGTTATTTTATCGTGTTATTTTATGCAGGTATTCTCATATTTATTTAGCAACGAGTAGATTTGTTTGTGTAGGGGTTTAGATATACATTATAAGTTATTTCGGTTTTGTTCGTAAATAAAGAGAAGATATTCGAAGATTTTAATTTGATTGTGCAATTGATAAATATATTAAAGATTACGGAAAAGTAGGGATAGGAATTTCAAAAATGCAGGAATTATCAAGCTCGACAACGCCTTGCCAACCTGCAGTAGTAAATGTATTTAGTATGTGTATGGTATTGGTGGTGGTACGGTTTCTGGTACCGGGTGGTACGCGGCGATTGTACGGCCACTCTATGTGGTACTTGATCGCAAAAGAAATTAGGAGACACTAGACTATTGGCCTGTGGGGAGCAAAGCTGTGGACAACAAATATATTGAACACCGTACCAATCTGCCCTGAATGCAACGCCTAGTCTATTTCCGCAAGGTTACCCATCTGCCGCAGTTAGGACTGGCCTGCAATCCCATTCTCTTTAAAACATTAAGAAATTTTAATCACCAATTACGTAAAGAAATAGCCCAGAATGTAATGAACGTTACAACGATGCACCACTTCATACTCTTACGGCTTACCTGCGCTCAAATTGTTGCCAGCTCATAAGATACTGCGACAAATCGGCCACGCTCCTGAGAAGTTCCATCTACAACCTCGTTGAATTTCATTGATATTATTCAGAATACGAACAGGGATTCGGGTCATAAAGCCACGAAACAAGGTCCATCGTCATTTTAGAATTTAGACGATGGGTCGTTCGATCGATTGGTGATTCGATTTATAGGTTGAATAATTGCGGATTGGAGGGGCCACGAATAAATACTGGAACGTCTCTACGTGCTAGGTCTGATTAGGACTAAATAATTTCGAACCTCGAAAAAGATGCTGAGTTATACTTTTTTCGGCTTCGGTGCTGGGCCGGTTGGTCTAATTCGATTAATTTTCTTTGTCATAATGACTTGTAACTGATAACGCAATATGTCCGCGTTGTTGGAAACAACGAAATTAAAAGAAGGGAGCAGCTAATTCCGATTTGCGTTGGACCTGACAGTGTTGTTTGGTATCCGGCAGGCGAACAAGCTTGAACTGTTGTTGTTGCTGGCATCTCCTTGGGCGTTTCGTGAAGGTCACAAGCTCGAGGTCCAAGCTCGAGGTCCTACTAACTTTACGTTAATAATATCTTATATTAAAAATAGATTATGGGAATATTTTAAAGCAAAATAACATTTCCCAGTATTTAAGTTATTATTGCGTCGTCTATAATCTATGTTTAATGAGAACTTGTAGAATTAGTTCCTGACAAAAAAAAAAAAAAGAAAACATTTCGAAAAGTTTTGCATTTTGTAGAATTAGTTCCTGACAAAAAAGAAAACATTTCGAAAAGTTTTGCATTTTATAATTTAACATTTAACAGACGTGGCTCAATTAATCCTCGCTTTTCCCCGACTCGGTTTTCTGATCACTAGAAGTGGTATAGATATAGAAAAATACTTAGTAAATTTCAGTTAAGTTCTTTGATCTTGATGTTCTAATCGAAATACAAGCTAGTGAGGGAAAAAGTTATTCAGTTGCTTGCTATATTATCATATTATATGATTATATAATTTCTATCATCATATTCTATATTATCATATTATATAATTTATAGCATATTATATAATATTTCATATTATATAATTTCTATTCTTTCCACTTAGTTCGTAGCTTCTTTTGTATCCGGATTTTTAAAGTTTTTGGTCATCTGCCCAAGCATCACATCGTTAAATTGAAGGGCAGACTTCAATTAGAAAACGAATAACAGTTTTTGTGATAATTTAATCCGAGTGGTAAAATAAAATAACATCTGCATGTGTTAACAATACAATCTTTTCAGTATTGCCTGTAGACAAAATCAACCTATATACCATCTATAAAATCTACAAGTGAAAGACTGCATGAAACCAAAGAAATAATAATCTTGTTCTCGTAGTCGAACTGAACCTAACCTCATAAAATGGGAGGCACTTCGGAACGACGCAGTCCGAACACGTTACCAGCGCCCGCTGCACACCAACGAAGATGCCGACATCCAACTCCGCCGAGGGATCCGAATACCATGTAAATAATTATAATTAAAATGAAAATACGTATAATAAATCTTGAAAATTGTTATTGGGTATTTTTAGCGCATTTTCTCATATATGGAAAAAATGCACTATTGCGCTCACCATGCCCGTCCGTCTGTCTGTCTGTCCGTCCGTGACTTCACGTTTTCTTCGACGAGAAAATGCGCGCTCTGTCACTCACTGCATTGAGTGCTTAGTTATATTTTTTCTGTAATTTTTACCATAAATTTGTACCATTTGTGTGCTTGAAAATAGTCGAAGAGAGCAGAGCCACTCGATGTTGTTCGAAAGCTGTGCCTGCATTAATTAAATTAAATTGAATTAATTTCATTAAAACAGTGCCTTCATTCGCATTCATTGGCGAATTAATATTGAAGAGCCACAGGGGATGCTAATGTTTTAAGATTTAACGTTACAACATAGTTTGCCTCAACTTAGCATTCTGAAATATTCAAACGGATTTTTGGTGTGTGAAACTGTGTTGTATGACACAGATGATGACCGAGATGTCTTGTTGCTTGTGTTATATAATATACATACAACATAAATATAAGAACCATAAAATTTCATGATTAGAAAGAATATTTATGTGCATTTTTCATACACAACGGGAAGCACAAGGTAAAATTATTTATTTATATTATTTTTTTCATGATATTTTATCCCCTTACAATATAATTAAATACATTTATTCGTCGCAGGCGAGGATCCGGACGCCCAGAGATAACTCACGAAAACATGAGCATCATAGGAAAGCTGCTGACTCGATTTCTACCGAACTCCAAATTCGTTGAAAACAAAAAAAATTTCTTCTTTGAAAGATTCGACTCTTTATTATCAAGATTATTCTTCAAACTGGGCGAAGCAATTGCAGATCATACCGGCTATTTTATTATGGTTCCTCTTTTCATCACTATAATATTCGCGACTGCCTATCAGAGAATAAGTTGGACAGACGATCCCGAATACCTCTTCTCTCCTAGCAATGGACGAGCCCGGCAAGAAAGAGCCGTACTTGATAAATACTTCCCAACAAATACCTCGAAGATGTTTGACGCAGCTCGGTTGATTCGCAACGGTCGCTACGTTCATTTTGGTGTCATGGCAAAAGACGAAACGAATTTGATCGACGAAGAACTTTGGAGTGAACTGAAAGCAATTGACCATTATGCGTTAAACTTCGAATTCCAGGACGAAGCCGGAAATACATACACGTATGAAGACGTGTGCGCAAGAATTGCGGGGAAGTGCGTGGGCAATAACTTTCTCGAGTTAGGAGTTCATATTCCTGAAATGAAACAAGGCAAATTCAAATTCCCATTCCCTGTAATGCTGAACCCTTCTAGTTTCGCTAACTACGTCTTCCCCAGTTTCATGGCAGGCATCGAACTTCACCCTGACAACACCATTAAGATAGCTAGGGCTGTAAAGCTTCATTACTGGGGAACTTCATCAACTAAGGAAATGGATCAACTGTGAGTATGAGTTTTGTCGTGTGTGCGAACAATTTTTAATATATGTCTTTTTACGCTCACTGGTTTGTCAGAAGTTTCTGATGAAAAAAAATTCCATGCCGCATTTTTGTACGCAATGGGCGGATGGCCTCGAGTCCTCGACCCATGCAAGTATACTGGTTTTTAGCTACCAAATTGTTTCGTGTTCAATTGAAAGTTAAACATCTTTTTATAAGTGCCCATATATTTGAATTAATCTAATTCGAATTCCCAACTATCCACTAACCATTCAATTTATCGCTCATTTTCATAGGTCCAATTTATGGGAGAAGGCGTTTCTCAAGAAATACTTGGCCGGAGAACTTAACGCGATAGCTCCAAATTTAGAAATTTCCATTCACAATTCAAGAACCGCGGAGCTTGAATTCCAAGAAAATACGCGTTCAGTGTTGCCATATTTCCTCGGAACCTTCTTCGTGATGGTGACATTCTGCCTAGCGACCGTCAGCATGGGGGATTGTGTTAGAAGCAAAACACTCCTCGGTTTAGCGGGCATCATCAGTGCTGCTTTGGCCACTTCCACGGCCTTCGGAGTGCTCATCTACTACGGCGTGACCTTCATTGGCATTAACTTGGCTGCACCCTTCCTTATGCTAGGTGAGTACAAATAACCTTTTGCGAAATTGTATTAAAAATATAAAAATCATTTTTTTAAACCAATCTTATTAAATTATTTTAGACATTCCTTCTTAAATGTTCGTCTTACTTTCAATAATGCTCGTCTCACCTCATCCTTTAAAACAAAAGTACATTTTGTTCTCTCTAACAATCTACCTTCACCAATTTAATTATTATTCCCACCATTATTCTAAGTCTCGTCACATTTTTACCTCTATAATTGCTGTTTTTTCTTACCTCATGATCTTGCTCCATATCCTCTGACGGATAAAACTTAGCTATACCTACGATCGTGGTAGCGTCAGTGGTCGCACTTATAGGTAGCGTCTACAGCGGCTGTGTCTGGGTCAAGGTCTCTACCTAGAGCGATTCCTTGGAAACCCCACGTGTCCCTTTCAAATATTCTCTTAAACCTCTTCCTTGAAGTCGGTGGCAGAACTGACTACTATTTCTTCATCTTGGATATTTTCTTTAGCACACTTGACTGAATGTGAATGCGTTTATACAATAGGCAATCGTTAATACTGTAACTAATGAATTAAAACTGATTTAATTTTACGTGTGATTAATGTTCTCCAAGCAATCAACTGTGTAGAATATTAAAAAAACTAGTCTAAATGATCTAACATAATTTTTTTATGAAGTTCATGTACACATTTTGCTTCCAACTTTTTCCAAAAATGATTTAACTGATCATTCTACTTACTTACACTGAGGCTGATGCCATTTTTACCACCTTCTTAGTATCCTTAGTATTTGTTTGGGACATAGCAGTCCCAGGCCACGATGGATCGCCGCCTTTGGTTATCGTTCATCCGCCCTCATTTGGGCCACCTGATGCACGATGCTGTTGCTTGCTTCTCGCCGCTTCTTCTGTTAGAGATAACAGCGATGTGATTAAGTGACATAAATTCTTCCATTCAGCGTATTTCCAAAACGCATTTCCTGGCTTAGTTTATACCAGAATGTGATAACGCTCGAGGCCAGGCTAGCGTTCACGGGCACTAAGAATATTCAAACAAGCACACCAGATCTGCACCAAGCCCACGCATGCGGGGATCTCCGTGACCAAGTCAGTGCAGGGGCGAGAGTAGAAAGCTTTCCTGCCAGATCCTTCAGAGCGCTAAAAAAGGCATTTCCTTTCGTACAAACTAGGATTGTGTATTGCATTTTCAACTACAAGAACAACAGATTATTCGCAGCATTTTAATGATGATTGCTGGTCGGGAATCCCTAGCCTTGAATATCATGCCGAACAGTCCGTGACCCAAAAGAAAAGCAAAAAGAATCTACTAGTTTGTTGTTAGAATTCCAGGCATGACTTTTAGAAAATTTAACAAAAGAAACTCTAAAAATTGATTAAAAAGCAGAACATTATTAGCCGAGCGTCAGTTATAGTCAGCGCCGAGCGTCAGCGCCGCGAACGCTCGTTTCAATACAATTTAACTCAAAAATATTTATAGGATAAAGGACTCTACCATTTTCATGCGACAATCCTAAATCAAGAACCGCAAATTTGTTAATATGTCCACATCAGGCGTGTAATGCGTGTTAGAAACGCTGGCCTTCAAGTTTTTCATCGTTCATAGCTTCATATATACTCAAGGTTGCAAAGCTTAACTCTAATTACGGTAATTAGTATCTTTCTCGATCGGTCTGCAGCCTCATGCGAGTAGACCAATCAGCTCGTGCTTCGGTACCCGTTGAAAAACTAGCCTATCGTTTCTTTATCATCGTTTATCTTCTGCCCCTTCTTCCAATGGTTGTCATTACTTTTATTGAATCCTTTAAATCTTGGTGTAAATATCTTTATTATAGATAAATTCGTCCTTTCATTTTAGAAGGAAAAGGGTATTTTCCAGGGCATAATTTTTTAATTTTAAAAAATTTAATTAAAAAATTTTTTTCCAGGGCCTAATTCCTAATTTTTTTTCTGCGATGCAATGCATATGCTATTCTTTTTGAATTCACTTAAATTATACAGAAGCTCGGAGACTGTGGAGATGCAATCAAGTGAACATTGTGTACGTGGGTGACGTGTTGCCTATATAACCGACCATGACCGAGATCGCGGTAAAAAACACCCTTGCTTCACTCTTCTCGCGCCGACTGCCTCTGTTTCGTACCAAGATTTGATACTCGTAATGTGAATACATCAGTGCTGATTTGTAAATACAATAAATACATCACTGGTGTTTTGTAAATACAATGAATAAATCACTGCTAATTTGTAAATACAATAAATACATCAGTGCTGATTTGTAAATACAATAAATACATCACTGCTGATTTGTAAATACAATAAATACATCACTGCTGATTTGTAAATACAATAAATACATCACTGGTGTTTTGTAAATACAATAAATACATCACTGGTGATTTGTAAATACAATAAATACATCACTGCTGATTTGTAAATACAATAAATACATCACTGGTGATTTGTAAATACAATAAATACATCACTGCTGATTTGTAAATACAATAAATACATCACTGC